GAGGCGGTCGCGCCTTGACCGCGGGGTTTGTGCGCTCTTTGCCTTGGCAGGAGGCTGCCTCGCTGATAGCGCAGAGAGCGGTGAACCCCCGGGACATCTTCAAGCAGAGGGAGAAGTCGGTGCCGGCGGACGCGGTGACGCCTTCCCAGCCAGGTACGGCGCCGGGTGCAACGCTTAACGGCAGGTCAGGCAGCGTGAGCCGGTTCCCGTTCCCCGCGCTGGGTAAATCTGTGCGCGGAGAGTGCTCCCCACGGGGAAAGCGTGTGTTCGGGACGGGTCTGTTACCCGTGAGGTTACCCTCGCTGAGCACGGGTAGCGCTCATGGCGCCCGGTGTTCTCTGCCATAGGCAGAGCGATGTCTCGCACCCAGCTCGCGCGACGTTTTTCATGGTAAGGCTCTTGCTTGCGGGCTGCGCCAGGTTTTAACAGCCGAGAGGGAACTTTGCCATACTTTGACTCCACTTCTGAAGCTTAAATTTCATTATTTTGATGAAAACTAAATATATTAATGCCAGAAAGGGGCGACTGTCACAATCTATCCCGACTGCCATAAATTCCACCCGATTTTTTGCACGGGTTGAACCAAGCAGGAGCGCGTCCCTTTAGAGGAGACCGACCTGATCTATCAGATAGAAACCAGGAAGCTGCGAAAACCAAAGCTGACACGGTAGCCGAGGAAGTCGCTGAGAACACGTGATATCCCTGGATGAATGTCTCCTCCTCAGCTCAACCTCCTTGAAAGTAGCTTGAATTAATTCGGAATAAGCACTTTTATTTTGCGATAGGAGCGCAAACGCGCTTTCTTGCGTAGGCAAGCCATCAGTGGGACAGGATGAAATCCCACGGTGGGAAAATGTCTATCTTGCTGCTTAAACATCGCGGGGGGAGGCTGATTTCTGAGGGTGAGAAATCCCTTGGGATTTCCCTCGTTTGTGTTAGCATTTGATGTTTTTCGGTGGAGGAAGGGAAGAGAAATGCCCTGGCACCGATAAAACCCACAGGCTAAGGGTCGGCTGGCAAGTCTTGGTGCTTATTCACTGCTGTGCTCGGGTAGGGCTTGTCTGGTAACTCTCCTGCTTTGCTTTTGTTTGCGTTCAGAGGCGTAGATGGGGGAGATAACAGCGAGTAGTTACCTTCTGCCAAAGGAAAGCGCGCCGGCTTAGAAGGCTGGCAGGGACCGGTTTGAAATCGTGCCTCTCCCAGTTGCTGGTCCTAATGTCTGTGAAATCCAGGCGGCTCCGAAAAATCACCGTGGAGAGCCTGGAGAGCAGGACCTGGGTGGCGGTGTCCTCCAGCTCCTCTTCCTCCCCAAAATTACGTCTTTGTTTTTTTGGCTTGGCTGCAGCTACTGCTGTAACCGGTAAACAAACTTGTTTTCCACAACCAGGATTAGAGCTGGAAAATCCTGCTTAGGAGGATAACCCAGCAGTGGGCTCCTAAGGCAAAAAAGCATCTGACAACACCCTTTGGTGACTAACTCCTGGGGAGAGATGGGGCTGTTGCCGTGGGGCTGGAAGCCTCGGTGCCCGCCCGCTCCTGCAGCACGTTTGACTCCTTTTCCAGGCAAGCTTCGCAGCCCTTTCCTGCAGAAGGAGGTGAACTCCGTGCCGAGCCCTGCCTCTCCTGTCTCTCCTGCCCGGGATGTTCCCCCAGCCTCCTTCGCCCCCTCCTCTGCTTGGGGGACGCCTCCAGCCTCTCCGGTCCCCGCAGCAGGTGCGTGGCTTTGTTGCCTTGCCTAACCGAAGCTTTTCACCTCGCCTCTCCAAATAGGTCCCCAAAATCGGGCGTGTTGAGGCCAGGCTCCGAGTTTCTGTTCCGTTTTCCCATGCCTCGGCAGAGCGCGAGCGGATCTTTAGGCCAGGAACCTGCAGGCTTTGTCTCCAGCCGGAGGGGACGACAAGGGCTGAGCGTGATGCTGAGGCTGGGGAAGGAGGAGAGTTATTGCTGCCTGGTGCGAAGGTCCCTTCGTTTCCTTCTCAGACTTAGCAGGAGGTTCAGCGGCTGAGGGGATGAGGACATCTCCTGGCTGAAAGGCTGAAATTCAGCTGCGTGCACCCCCAGAGCCCCCCTCCAGACCTCCCGCTGCAGGGGCTTTGAGGTTCCCACTCAGACCTTTCCGAAATGCCTTCCAGACCCAGCAAAGGAGGCTTTCTACCCCCACGCAGTGATTTCCCTCTGGGCGGCAGAGCGCGGTGACAGCAGCCAGCTCTAGCAGTTAGACAGGGCTGGGTTTCGCCGTCCCAGTAAAGACCGGAGGATCCGTGCGTGTCGTCGACGCAGGGCTCCAAGGGCTGGCAGTGCCCACCTGCCCGGGCATCGCCGGCCTCGCCGCCGGGGCTGGGGTGGCAAGGCAGGCAGAGGGAGCCGGGCTACGAAGAGCTTTCTCTGCGTGTGGCGAGATGCTCTCTCCCCTTTCAGGTGGTTTGGGTGGGAAGAGCAAGTCTGGAAGGAGGGCTGGCTGTATCCGGAACGGCTCCCCACGTGCCGTGGGTGGCACAGAGGTGTTTGCCTTGTCCTTGAAGGGCTGTGTGGTTTCACGTCCCTGCTGGCTTGTCCCCAGCTCACTGGGCTCCTCACTGGTCCCGAGGCTACCCCGCAGCTTCGCTTCAGGAAGATGGGAGCTGGGAAACAACCTCCAAGCTGCCTTTTCCCAAATAAGCCAAAATGTACCTGGTTAAAAACCAAACCCTTTGAGTGATTGGGCTCAGCAAAATGTTTCAGCCAGAAACATTTTCTGCGGTGGACCAAAACCAACGGTTCTTTCAGAGCGGCTTGTTACTGCTTTCTGTCCTGTCCGCCCCAGCGATGGAGGGCCAGGGACGAGCTGGGGGCCAGGGACGAGCTCCGGCGGTCCCCGGGCTGCAGTCACCACTAGATGCTGCTCTTGGCCAGGGTCTCTGCGCCAAGCCTTCCCCGTCAGGTTTGGTGCTCACCGCAAGGAGCAGCTGGGAAATGGTTCGTCTCGAGCGAGCTTATTCCCTTCCCCATCGGAGACCCTGGATCTCTCCGTTGTCCTTTTTATCGTTCCCTAAACCCCTGCTCGGCCCGTGGCTGGGTTCGTGCTTGCTGGACCCCATCCCCTCTGCGGGACAGGAGACCCGGGTGACATCCAGCTCACAGCAGAAGTTCGGTGGCACTTCAGCCGGGAGCAGGAGTTGGATGAACGAGGGGACAGGGAGAGGTTTTGGTGACGGATATCGCGGTGAGATACCGTGTGTTTCTTCCGCAGGGCAAGACACTGCGTACAATTCAAGCGTCCCAGCTTCCCACGCGGAAGAGGCAAATCTGTACGAGGAGCCGCCGGACCCCTCGGCCATCTATGAAGAACCGCCTCAGGTTGGTGCGTGAGGGAGGACAGAGGACCCCGGGGGGGGGGAAAAGGGCACCCGAGAGCTGGCCAGGATCCTCATGCGAGAGAGCATGGCTTTGTCTCATCTTTTAGGATGAGTCTGGAATCCTCTTACGAGCGTCTCGTCTCTTTGGGTACAAATGCACCCGCCGGTGCTCAGAGCCCGGCTGCCTGGGCTAAAATCGGTAGGAAACCGAGAAGCCCCGGAGCTCGCACACGCTCGCGCCGCATCCTCACGGCGAGGGGACAGCTGCTGCGTCCCTTCCCAGCGCTGACGCCGAGAGATGCTGGCGCTGAGCCCCCGTCGCCCGTCCCGCACCCTGTGCCCCGGGGTGCTCCAGCTGGTGTCACTGTCCCCGTTCCTGGAGCCCCGGGAAGGGGGCAAGGGGAGAGCCTCTCATCGGCCTCTTTGCCAAAGCGCTTTCTCCTCCTTCTCCTGCTTCTTTGCATGTCCAAAACCAGCGGAGCTGACAAAGCCCGGCTATTCTTGGCGTGCTCCGTCAGATTCTCCGGCGTCTAATAGCGGGGTTGTGTCATGCTGCAGTATTTCCCTTGGAGACGCGGTGGCCGTTTGGTTTCCTCTCCTCTATTCATCCATCTTGTGTCCCCCCGCCTCACAAAACCATAAGCATTTCAAACGTACGTAATTTTCTCGTTCTTGACTTTGTCTGGAAGTGTCCAGCTCGTTCAAAAGGAGCGGGAGATGGGCTGAGTGATCGCCTCGGCCTTTCGGTACGAAAGAAAAGTAAAAAGCAGCCAGCTCAGGTTCTCAAAATAGTAATGAGAGAGAAACGCTTGGAAAACTGGAGTTGGAGCTTGTCCAGCTTCAACAGGCTTAAACGTGGGGGTGATGAACTGCTGTCTGTAGTGGAGATCCTGAGGGATCGGCTTCCAGAAGGGTTGTCTGCTGCTGGTCTCGGTATTTCTGGTTGTGATGCTGGCTGCCGGGCCGGAGGCGCTGCAGGATCGGTGCCGGTTTGTGAGCCAAACCGGAGAGCTGGCCGCCTTCGCTCTTCGGTGCGAGGCTGGTTTGCGCGCTCATCTCCTTTAGCTGCTGGCAGAGACGCGTGGAGTCCCCAGAGCCGGCGTTTTTATTCCGGGGGGGCATCTGGGACCTGCTGCACGCAGTTCTCCGAGGCTCGGCGGGGGGCTGATCTAAATCTCTGGGTGTTGCACGGTGTTGTACTCCTCCCTCCCCCTGTTTTTTCCTGCAATTCCCGGTGTGCAACGCCTCCCGATCCACCCGGGAAACCGAGCGGGGCCGCGGGAAGCAGAGCGGGGCGATGTGCACCCCGCGTGCCGTGCCTTGGGGTGGCGAGACCCCGGACCGCGGACCCTTGCTGCGGCTAACGAAGCACGAGCTGCCTGGCACAGCATCGGTCGCGCTGGTAACGCCTCTTCTGCCTCTCTCCTTCCCGAAGGAACAAGTTGACGATGCCAAATACGACTACTCGGTTGAGTACCAGCAGCCGCCGGACCTGACGGGGAAGGGGCTGTGTGCGCGGGCGCTCTACGACTATCAGGCTGGTAAGACCTGCCGAGCTCTGGCTTTCCCTCTGGGCTGGGCAGGGGTTTGCTGGGTCCGGTCCGTTCCCGGAGAGCTGGACCGGAGACATCACTCATCGTGCCGGGCGATCCCACGGCAGGGTGCTAGATAGAGCGTCTTCCACCCAAATTGGAGCTGGAGGAGGAAAGAAGGAAGCTGATGGCTTCTCTTTTTTTCCCCCTAACATCTGTTTCTCACTCCCCTCCCTGTCTCCCCTCCCCTGCCTCCTGCCTCGGGGCCTGTTTCACCCGGATAGTCACATCTTGGAATTTGCTGGACCCCCGGCCCTTCGCGGCAGCGGCGGGGCTGAG